TTTCAGCACACCTCTTTGCCAGAAAAGTGTAAAAAAATGATTGTTCTTTTGGGTAAAATTAATAGACTGGAAAGCAAGACGGAGGAGTGACAGTATCAAAGGTATGCGCAACTATTGTAGAGGTCGTGACGTAACCGAAGGGAACACTGACTAGCTGCAGCAGAGGCACATAGGGCGTCTAGAAATGACTACAAATGGTGCCACAGTAGACCATTTATCTTATTATTCCGCAATATTTACTTGAACTTCTAAATTTATCCACGTTGGCAAATTACATTTCCTTTGTTAGAGCTGTGCTTTTGCAGCCTTTCTTAACCTGTGCGCTTTCTTTAACGAAAATCGCACATTTATTACTTAATAACAACGTTCCAGTGTTAAATGCACATCTGTTTCAAGTGGGAGGTTTCAGGATCCGTCCTATAATCTACAAAAGATGGTCCCACCACACAAAATACTCCATCAGCCATTGGTAAATCCTCTCCACGAAAATAGTCCACTCATTAAATTTAGAATTCACCTTACGTAACTGGTAACACTTTCATTTCATAACACTGCATTTTCAAAGGAAGCGCCTTTAAAACCTAAGTAGTAAACACATTTAAACTCCAAGATTTGTTTACCTCACGACGTTTATCCTCATTGTCTGCTCCTTCATTGGACATCAGTGTATACATTAAGTCGCAATATTGACCTCGTGATCCAGTTATCAACAATGCCAAACTTAAAATCCAAGTTGGAACGGTATACTGAGGTGCTGTGTCACAATCCACCTTCATTAAACCAGTCAAAATAAAGCAAACCTGAATCCCAGAAGGACAGGTGGGAGGATTGGAAAACCAGTAAAACGAAGCCTGTCAAAGTGCACGTCAGTATTATCGAATCCGCAAAGGAGAGCAGCTAGCAGACGGTACAGTCTAAGGTACAGAACGGCGGTATGGTAGAACGCCTTGAAGGGAGCCTGAGATGTGACCATGCAAAAGTTTATATTTCACATCCCATGGGGCCCCCCTGTTCGGCACCCCTCCCCGTGTTTCCGTGTTTGTCTCTGTGTGTGCAGTGGGATATCACGCAACCGGTAATGTGTATGTGCGTGCGCGACTACCCACTCACACACGTCCATATTTTGCCTCAGGAAGTCGTGAGACCAGGCCCGATGATGCTGCTGATACTGACGGCAAAGCTTGATGTAGGAGAGACGTGAATTATGATTGCGGTGCTGGGAAAAAGGTGGGTTGGACTAACGGCTGTGTTCGCCTTTTCGTTGAAGTGCACTCCCCGATTTAAGAGATTATGGTCCTCCACTCGACACCCGGAGCACAAATTCAGAGCTCTGGTCGTCTGCGAAGACAATAATATGGATATCACTCTATGAGAATTCTTATTATAAACTCACAGAAGGCCTGGTCACCTATTTTTATAGCTTCACTCCAAAAAAGTACAGACCAAGGCATTGGAGGCTGAATAGGCGACTGAAGGAAATGTTATTCAGTCACAATGCCTCCTTCCTAGAGGGCACTATCAGACTACGCCAGAATTTGGATCGTTTTGCTTGTATAGCTGACCAAAAATACCTAGTCAATCTCGCATAGTTCAATCTCCAGACTTGTGGCACGTAACTCTTCACATCGCACTTCTAATGGTAATCTTTCAGTCCTTCTGCATATTGCTAATGCACGCCTCCCAACATCTTCAGAGAAAAGTTCATTCCATCTACCCTTTAGTTTCCCAATCAATCTGTGGGCTTGTAAACGAAACTACTTTCAGACTCGTGCTCCACTGAGAACCCGGATGCTACAAGAACCGTTTTTTGAAATTGAGTTGGCTTGAGAGGGAATTAATGGAAGATTGCAAATTGGTCACGAATCTTCAGTTAGACTACCGTGAAGTCGTAGGCAGGCTTAAGGTCGGCCTTTGTCCACATTAGGTGGTGGACAATGCGGATGCGATGTGTTCTAGCCTGCACAGAGGGCAATTAATCAATGCGGCAGTCATGATTTGAGACTGTGAGCCAGGGAATGTGGATATGTCACAAGCCGAGGGTACGACTAATGGCCGCAGCTTTTGTCTTTTCCCCACCCGTAGCCAGTTCGATGGCCCCCCAAGGCAAACAGGATAAAGCCAAACCTATACCAGGGCCAACAGCTGGTGTTTTTAGAAAAGCAATTCTTAACACTCATAATTGCCGACATCCTCAAGGATCACCAATGGAACAGTACTTATTCAAAGCAGTTCAGTGATGGTTTTTGCTAAGTACGATCGAGATGTGCGAAAAATGTCGTAACCGAAATATCAAGACTATTGAATAATACTGTCAAAGGTAGGTTTAGGCTTGATGTGGAAGATCGTAAAGTGCGGGTTTTCAGGCTAATGAGCATGGGGATTCTCGTTCCTTCTTATGCATGGAGAATAAGCACTATACTTATTAAGATAATATGCGCTTGGATCAAATACCAAAAGAAGAAATAATATTTTCCGTGCATAAAAGGTCACATATACTAAAGGTGTTTTTAAGAAGCCAGAAAAACATCTGCTCAAAATAAATTTGTGGGGATGAATATACTTGTCGAAAAGGATACTAGGATGGTAAAGTATTTATAGCAGGGTGTTTAACAATACTGATGTAGGCTTTTCGGACTTATTAGAAAAACTTCGTTGTTTATGCTTTGATTGGCACTGGCGCAATTTTATTGGCCATAGAAGACACCACCCAAGTAACCTAGACTATGATTGTGCCAGAAAGGATAAGCTAAAAATCAAAGCAGGTATTTTTGGCGAGACATCTTTGCTTTTTGAAATTTCTTCGGTAGTACTTCTCCACACAAAGCATACCTGGGAGTACCAGTTTGAGCAAAAATTCGCTTTCATTGTAAAACTCCAATCGCAGTACACTTTAACGGCCGCCTTTTGTGGTAGACTTCCACCGTCACGTTTGGCGTTTGTAATACTAGTTAAGGTGGTGAAATCTTAGCAGCTGCAGCTGCAGCAGCAGCAGCCGGCGGCGTCAAAGTTGACTAAAGAATTTATACCATAAAAATGTGGAGGTCCTCAACAAGTCTGTATTTGTACACTATTCTAGGATGCTATTGGAATTTTTTCCTGCCTCCTCCTTGCCAGGATGATCTAAAATGTCAGATTTCTTGATTCAGTGCCAATTACAATTAATACAGAAAATAAAGTACTCATGTTAGAATGTCGGGTGTTTTGTCGTAGAGCAAGGACTGAGTCAACCTTGTCTCCTTCGAATAAGATACACTCATAGTAAGGATTTTCACCAATCTTGGGGGTATTTTCAAGTATCCTGACTGAGAGAAATCGAGATTTAATTAGCGCGCAAGGTGATTCAGCGACTAGAGGGAATGCATGCCAATCAAAATGACAAGTACTGTCGTGTTTTACTGGGTAACTTCTAATGATCGTCAAGTGGAATTCTTGACTTTGCGAAGGCTATTCCACTCGTCAGAAAATCAAATTAGCAGTGCTCCACGGTGGCGCAGGCGAAAGGATGCCGACTTACTTGGATGCTCTTTAAGCATTACTACAACAAAGGCAACAGAAGGTTTTATGGTGCGCACCGAATCCACCTTTACGGTAGCAAAATGGCTGCTTGTTTCCCTTCCCTTTGTACTTTGATAACTTATAAACAGATGAGGGAGCTGGAAAACCAGTTGCTTAGCTCTATACCGCAGCCTTAGGAATGGAATTGCGGTGCACTTCAAAAGACTCGGGCGATACTATAAACAACTGGAACAACTGTCCTTTTTGATACATTTGTCTCCGCCTTGTTTCTGGTGTTGCCCTCAGCATTGTGCAAATAGCCGTAAATTAAAGACTTACAAATCAAATGAAACTCAAGCATCGCATAGATCTCGTCTTTTATATACTCTTTTAAAAAATCGGACTTGTTCTGAGGCAAGCATGCTTCAGATTCCGCTCGTTTAGTTTTTTCCTAATGGAAGCCTAATTATTAAAAATCTACAATGGATTGTTCTCCATTACAGCTTCATTTTAATTTTAACTCTCATTTGACTTTCATTAATGTTTTGGAGCTGCCTCGAGATCTATCAAAGCTAGTCTTAGAACGCTTCAATCTAAAGTGTGTCAGATTTTTGACCTTCACCACCGTTAACGGTAGTGTAAGGTACGATTTAGACTTGTTCTTTGTAAATCATACCATAGAGCAGAAGTGGGTCTCCACAAATTTAGTCACCCACGATCATTTGCCCCTTTTGGGCCTCAAGCACTTGTTGAGACGGTTTTCTTCAAAAGGGGTAAAAGGTGTCAAGTTTATCTTTCCGCGCTACCGCTAATGAAGCGCTCGGATTACTTTTGAAGATGTCACAAGACACACGAGTGTAAGAGTAGCTTTGTTAATGGAGAGAAGAGATGTGCTACTTACAGTAGTAGTGAAAAGGAGGCCAAATTGTGCATAATGCTAGGTGTGTTTGAAATAAGCGCTGCTACATTTTAGGGGCAGACTTAATGAAAATAATTTCTGTTTAACATGAGCACTGGCAGATTCATGTTTAGTGACGGAAATGAGAAATGAAAATGTGGGAACCTCAGACCTCTTTGCAGCCACCTCTTCAACCCCTGGTTCTGAATGAAATTTTAAAACACCAAATTAATTTAAATATTTCCAGAAATGATCCGAAAGTTCGCCACCCAGACCTTAAATAAATTACCATTTTTGTGCGTCAATCCCCAAAGCTGTCCACATGACGCAGGTGACTGGGGCCAAGTGCTATAAGGAAGATACAGAGGAGAAACACAGCCACGATGTGTTTCATTGTCAATGATGCCATCTGGTACGTTGTTTATTTAAATAAGGTAACCGTATGCGACTTTTCAAGGAGAGAAATTTATCAAGAAGGCAGCGCTACTTTCAGTTATTTCCAAAAAGGAAAATAAGGAATAGAAAAAAATCACCTCTAATTTGCTTTTGCTTTCTTAGAATGGGGTGTCACAGATCCTGATGAGGCGTTTTGATAAAGACTTGATAAAGAGAGGGTGGTTTTTAGTTACTCCAGAATGGAGAAGAGGGGATTTAAGCAAATTTGGGCGATTTCGGGTCTTTGATTGCTATTTATCATTCATTGTTTTTATGCAATCATTGCTATGATACTCCTTCAATGCGGTTCTCACCATGGTAAAGGACAGATTTTGTTACTGAGCTTCCACAAATTCGCCCATTTTAGATGTGATGCCTTTTTCTCAATTGTAACTAGCCCATCCACACTGTGAGTTTTCTTCATGGGGCTAGAAAAATCAACTATGTACCTAACTGCCACCAATTTAAAGGCAGTTTTTGATTTCAGGGTTGTTTACTTTGTGCCAGAATGGAAATGCCGCAAGATTTCCTCCACAACTATTCCCCACGATGAATAGTCTAATAGCCTGAAGTCATGTTTCAGCCGTCTGGAAATCAAGCCATCTAATCGGAAGTGGTCGCTTTCAAGGCATTCCAAACAGCAAAAAGAACATCGCCTTGTTCTAATGAATTACCGACCAGTAAAATGCAGTTATTTTTTAGTATTACGCTTAGATGGAAGAACCTCTTTCAATACGGAAGGATGGCTTAATCCGAGTGGGAGTGTGGAGGAACGGGAATGCGCATTTTGCTTATATATGTGATGTGGCAAAGCACTTGACTAATATCTGACACTATTCTGCTTCAAACATGTCACAATCGTTATAATTTCAAAGTAGAACTAAACCCTTATATTTAGGCCTCATTCAATCAAAATAAAAACTGCCAGCAAATGCTAACTATAGTCTACTATCTCATAGCACATAAAACATTATTCTTTCCAGTCAACTAAGACCCAGTTGGGAGATCAGTAAAACCACGAAATAGAATTAAAACGGCTTGCACCCTATAGGCAATGATTATATAAAAGTGTAGAACAATTTTGGTGCCTTAAAATAAGAGTGTAAATCACTCACCAACACGTCTTTCTGCTAGAGTGAGGGGAAAACTATGGGACTTTATTTGACGTTTTGGCACCGTGAGAAGATGATTGATAATGCAGGTCTTTTTAGGTACTGGGAAGATTCCTATCTAGGCTCTGGTTACAGGGCTAATCTGTGCATCCGAAATTATTTGCAATCCAATTCTCCCATTGGGATGTTAACTTATTAATGCCATCGGCAAATTTATGTATTTCTTTGAATGTCTAGTCACTTCGCTTGGTACCGAGGCTGTGGGTATATTCAAGGGTAACACCCACCTTCCTCATGACCATTGCAATGATTATTCGCCTGTTTTGTGGGTCCATTCCCCAGGCTTACTTCTCCAATCCTCTTAATCATGATTATTTTCGGTTGTGTAGAGTAGCCACAGACGAGGCCAAGGGGTAGGACTTTACCCCTACTTTGAGTATCTATACTGAGAGAGGCAAAGTTGTGCTTCCAGTCCCTCAATGGAAGGGTAATTCTACCATCCGTCTTCATCTGAGAGTGCCAACTACAAGAGTAGTCAATTTACCCGGGGAAAGTAGACTCGTGTCACACAGGGGCACCACCAACAACTACTACCCCTCTCAGCTCGGTTGTTTTTGACAAAGATTATGATATGTAGAAATTCTCCGGATGCTAAACCAGTAATAGGTAGGTAAGGAATTAGTTCATTCTCTTTGGAAGTGCCAAGTTGTTTTACATTAAAATTTTCCGAAATCTATAATGGGGAGCTCACTTAACAAATGAAAAACTTCGGTGCCCTTTGGTTATCAAACAAAAATTCATTTTCAGATCGAATTCGCATTTATCCCTCCGCATTAACTGTTATAGTTAATTTATTCGTTTTTGTAAAAAAGGACCAATAGCGTAAAAGAATTAAAGTGAACTTTGTGCTTTAGCATCACGTGCTTCCTGCTAAAGACTGACACGAAGACCAGGGCTTCAAAGTGCCACACACAAACACACACAAAAGAGCGCGGTGCCGCTATTCTTCAAGGTCACACTATCTGCACAGATATCCTGCGTCGTTGCGTTCAATGCTAAAATCACCCGTCAATGTCCAGTTTGGCGTCAAAATAGCTCATTCGCCTTCCTGTTAACAAACATGGCTGTTGGTGGAACTGTGCTGCTTGGTATCCACTGAAGTGCATTAACCTGTGGCATTAGTGCCAACAAAAAATTTAAAAAGAGAATCGCATTGTCATGAGCAATTTAGAGTGAACCCAAACGTGTCCTTGAAGATAACATGCTGAAAGCTAATTGGTCTCTGCCGTGGGAACTCGATTTAACGCGTGCGTTTCGAGTAATCAATCGATAAAACTTTCTCGAATCCATTTTTCTTATTGACTGTTTTAAGTCGAGCCCGGTGCAGTCGCTTGTCTGAAATCCAGGATGCCCCTTCGTTATCGATTACATGAGATTATGAGTGCATTAACTTGAGGCAAAAAACTGGAACGCAAGAGATTATCAATACGACTTGCACAATTCCATTTTTTGAATCAGGAAATTAAATTGAACAACTCGATTTGAAGAGAACTCATCAGATTAGAGAAGACGCTTCTTTTCATTCACCAACGAATCGCCTCTTTCGACCATGCAACGCACGCGTGGGTAGTCTCAGAAGCGTGCTTGTACACATACACGAAATGGGTCAGAGGGGTAGCCCAATCAACGCTCGACTCTCATGTGATTGGCTCTCGGGTCCGCCAAGCGCAAAAGGATGTTACGCACGTTTGTGCGTGCGTATGCGTGTATGCAGACAAGCTGGCTCAAATAGATGTGCGTGCGTGCACTCGCATTCGCGCCACATCTACTGCTACCACTTCCACTTTTAAAGCGGGTCATGGCTGTGGCTGAGTTTGTGTATGCCTGTGTATGACACGAACGCACGCGCGCATAAACGCACACGCACTCACGCAGCGCAAACGTGCACGCACGTACGCACTTCACAGGAATCACATCACATCACATCAGAACGGTGCGAAACGAAACGTGGAGTTGCTCCCGTTCGCTAGAGCTCTCTTTCTCTCTCATAGAGCAGTGAATTAAAATCCACTCCCACGATCATCCAAAAGAATAGAAAAGTCCACGGCTGGGAATTCCCATCATCCCCTCCTCTCTCTCTCCACGACTCCCAGATGTCACAGATATTGCACCGCACTCGTGGAGTCACTCCACTTCTACCCTTCCATCCATTCCTTCCTGCTCTCGTCCTTCTGCTAGCATCACTTTCCTGCGGTAAGTCAGTCCCTCACATGACTGGTCTTTAGTTAATGGTAATTAATTCCTCTCCCCCTAGTCTGTGACCTTTAATTTTATGCATTAACAAGTGGTACAAGTCACGTGGGCCAAGCATGGAGGCTACAATATCCTTCCCCCATTTAGCCTAAGTTGATTTCATTGAGTGTAAAGGACTGTTCTGAGTCATTGAAATTTTAGTCAGTCAGAATGACTACTAACTTAGTTACCTTCGTGCTTAATAGGTGGCAAAAATTAGTAAGCTCTTGATGAGGCCAGACTTATTTTGCGTTAAGTGTAGAGACCTGAAACAACCACAGGATAAATGTAGTAAGTACTCATTAGGTCGTGTTGCCTACCCTTCCACGAGGACTGATCTAATTTGTTATTGAAGGCTGTTATCTTCTTCACCCACCTCCTCTTCCTCCCATGCCCCTGGTAAATGTCGGGGGCCATATATAACCTTGCAGCGATTCCGCACAGAATTTCCGATGACTACCTACCTAGCCACCGTAATGGTCAGCTTCCCATGGGGAAATACAACGCATCCACACATACACAGTCTCTCTCGCATTTATGCAGCTGTTTTGTTGGAGCCGAAAACTTTTAATCTGGTTGTGGCTAAAGCGGTCGCATCAACAACAGAAGTTGCAACTGGCATAACCGACACTTTTTCAGACCGTTCGCTAACTCTGATAGCCCGTAGTGTTGTAGATTGAAATTTCTAGGCTCCAGCTTTTTGACTGATGAGAAAACTCAACAGAGATAGATGCTAGTAAGTTCACGTGACACCGGAGCTTTCCTAAAGTCTACAGTGTGAAAATGCTGACAATTTTGTGGCAAGCGATATCTACCACACCAACCAATAGATTTTTTCCCGATGTTAGATTCTGCTGTACGCATCGTTTGTAAAGCCACTGAATGACTTTTAGCAGCTCTTTACCGTGATGTTCACGAGAAAGCAGAATATGGTACTTCAGCAGCTTGATTTGTCCACGTCACGTTACCGCTGCAGCTCAGAGATGTGCAAGTCCGAACGAGAGTAAAATACCAGTTACTCGCGAAAAACTACTGCTACTGCTGGTGCTACCATCACCATCTGGCTTCTCAGTTTGTGGATTCACACCGTTTAAGGATCTTTTCTCGCATGCGAAACTTCGTCATTACTCCTCTTCATTTAGGCGGGGAGGAGGGTTGATTATTGTGCTAAAAGCGACTCTCTTTGCTTCAAGAAATGTCGAGCATGAGAAACGAGGTCCGCTGGGATGGTGCTTAATAATGCACCCTCATCCACGGATTTTCTCCAGTTTACTGGGCGAGAAAGCCCAGTTACGTACGGCACTGCATTTGAGTTTGACAGAAGAAGCGTTGAGAATCTCACAGGATGCAATGCTTTGATCGATGTGACTTTAATTTTGGTCATCTCTGTAGCCATGCTTCGTATGGTCTGCCTTTTCAGAACCGTTCCCTTCCTATCTGTGGGACCGTCAGGAGTATAGTGTGATAGCTTGTTAAGCTCCAAATACACAGGAATTCCGCATGCATTAGGGGGGGGGGGGGGAGTCTGGGTACAACTCATTAGGCTCTCGAGTCCTGCTATCAACACAGATTCAGAGCGAGTTCGAAGTGAGCTAATTGTTTGAGCGTGACCTTTGGGAGATGGACGTGGCCTCCGTCGTTGTCGGTGGTGGTGGTGGTGGTGATAATTTTTCATTCGCTGCTCCCAACGCCGGTCAGGAAAGTGCTTCCCACGTTAATCATACACGCGTGCACGGTTTGCATTGAGGTCAGTCAGGATATGTGTGCGTGCGTGTGTGCGTTTGTCCGCATCCACTCGCACTCGTCCTGGCGCGGGAGCGGAAGAGAGACCATTTGTTTTTTTTTGCCCGCCCCCTCCCCCTGCCTATTCCATTCGTCAAACTCTTTTGACGGATTTGAATTGCCGAGTTTGAGTCATTCGTAAGGGAGCCGTCGAATTCTTCGATTTCAAGGGCGACTCTTGTATCCCTCTCTCTGTTCCGTTCATCCAATTCCATTTAAACGTGTAACATCTCGTTCCCCTGGCTCTGATGCAGTCTATTTTGGTCTCAAGTTGAACCATTTTCTGCGTTTTTCAAATCTAGGCATAAAGTGACTGTTTAGACTTCACTACATTAAAGTATATTTGAAGCACTGGATGAGTTATCTCAAGAAAATGGAACTATTTAAGTCACCTTTAATACACGATTTTGATTTGCTTTTTAATGAGGATGCGGACTTTTGGATTTGCGATAGCGTTTGCCTTTCTTCCTTCTTCAACTTTCCTCAAAGGCTTCCATTGGGGAAGTTTAAGTCTCGGTGAAGGGAACCGCCAAAACTGTATGAGACCAACGACGAACTGCATCCCTGTGGAAAAAATGATTTAAAATTTCGGAAGAAACTACATCTGTTGGTATTGCTCGTTTTCCTCTTCATCTATAAACCTAGGTCGGAAGTCTCAAGAACATGTCTTGTGTTGGTGTCCTAACTGAAATGTTTGAGTGTGTATTTGTGACACCGCATGATCTAATTTTAGGTGGATGTGAAATCTTTTAATCTAAGCAATTGATTCATATTTTCAAATGAATGCTAGGGATTTCAAAAACAACTCCTGTTGAAAGGGAATATTTTGCATCCTGACAGTCCCAGCCCAAAGAATTTTAGCCTTTTCTCTTGTAAATTCTCTTAGTGGTACCGAGGGAACGGTCCAATTCTAGGCCGGTTCAGATGTCCATGCGACTAGCCTATCGCAAATTTTATTAAAAGATCGCCTCTGACTATGGTCCTGCCCATTTTTACAGATAAATATAGGGTGAAATGTACTTCCCACCCTTCCGTGCTGGGTACAACGTGTTGCACCTCTCAGTTAAAACACCCGATTCCCTTTTTAAACTTCAACAAGGAATGTATATTAGGAATAAAGCTTATCTGGAAACTCATAAAAGTTGGGTGCTTTACACTAGCTCCAATATGACTAATTTTTGCTTTTTAATGAAGGCATTAACTTTTGACAATGTAAAATCAGTGAGAGAAAATATTTTTATGCTTACTTTTATCCTCTCCAACTGTGAAACTCTTCTAACGACTTTGAATGGCTAGGTCAGTTCACTCTCGAGAGAACCTACGAATTCCAAGACTGTAGAGGTAAATCATGTTTTCCTGGAGACGGATGATGGGCGATTTCGAGGTAGGCCATTTCTGCCTATAGCGTGTTTACAGCAAAATATCGTACCCACCATCAGTGTTAGACACATCTTTCCCGGTCTTCAAATTTAGGGGATTTCGTGTTTAAGTCTCCCGTTTTGATTCCAATTTGTTCAGAATACCACATGAGGGATCGTGAGACAAACAGAATTCTTGAGGTTGCCTTTCTGACCTTAGCTGTATGCCCTGTAGGAGTGCACTGGGCTCTTCAAGAACAACAAACATCTAGATTTTATTTTCAAATGAAGATCCCATTTTTGGGAAACAGTAGTACAAACTTCTTTATACTCCGAAATTGCGATGGAGACAAATCCTTTCAATGTTCACTGGCTTTTTTTTCCATACCTTACTTCAAACTTCACCCATATACCTCTGTGAATGAGCACTAACAAGTGGCCCAAATGAAGGAACTACTTGCTGCTTTTTTAGCTTAGATGTGGTCAGCCATCACTCCTGCGTGGGCTCAGGTGATGTTTTTCTTTGCACTTCAAGGAGCCAGTGCCACACCGAATAAGCAGTATTAGTACTACATTCGCACTATACTACTTATCTGGCCCTAATTGGAGTGGCCTCAGTACGGGGTCACGCACACACACACAATCTCCATTCGCCCCACACACATGCTTGTGTCCTATTATTATGCCGACAGGAACAGAATAGGAGGCCACAAAATTTTCTGACGTGGAATACCCTGGCAGACGACGCTCCGTTCACTTACTTTCCCCTCCCTCTTACTAACGTCTCTCAGTCGATCGGTTTCGGTCTCAAATCCGTCTGGTTGATGCTACTACCTATTTCACTGTTAGGGTCTCAGAAAGAGGTTGGCGTCCGTAACGCAGACGTTTTATCAGTTCAATTGCTATTCGAGAACAGAAAAAGTGTAACTACCCTCAGACTGCAAAGGTCTACGCCTGCTTTGTTCCAAGCTCAACAAATCTGGTTGCGGCGGAGCTTGGCGCAACCAGTTATCATGCACTGATAAGGAACACATCACCATTTATGCCAGAAGAATCAAATAAGAAAGGCGGTGCTGATTAGTGTTTCCATTTATGGGTGCTTTTATGTCCCTATGTCTACCGCTTGATTATTGTCGTTCATCTTCTCTCAGATAGATAATGACAAAAGCAATTGTTTTCGCCTTGACGTTTAGGGCTCGTCGAGGCAGTTGAATCGCAGCAATTCATAAAAAATTTTTGGCACCCAAACTAGCACCACGTACAGGCACGTGCTCAGCTCCAGAGTAAAATTGTTTTTTTGTCTTGGTATTGTTTGCGCTTATGAACAATTTCTGTTTGTCTCTTTATTGCATGCTTTCACTACCCTTTGCTCATGGCTGAATCAGGAGGCCTGCTTGCATGAACTCATGTTCCTTGATTTCAAAATAAGATTTGTGAATAAATAATCTTTCATTACTGCTATCCATTAGGAAGTGAATCATCATTGTCGATGCCACTGCGCTCTTATGAGAGGATTCTTTATTGGATTTCAACACTAAAAATGTCTCTGCTAAAAAAATCTGGAATCTGAATTTCATTTTATTTCTGTCCAAACTTATTTGGAATTCATAAAAAAACACTGTGAAGCCGCATAAGTAGAGTCGATTGTACAAAAAAACTTTCAACCGACCCTTTTATCCTTCTTGGCGTCAATCATTATCATGATGAATGACAAACTATCTCAACAACAAGATGGAATGGTAATTTAAAGAAACGGATTCTTAATAGGCTTTTCGTTAAAAATTTCCACCACCCCTGGACCGCAAAATAGCCTGAGTTTGGGAATTTTGCGTGGTTAGACTTTGAGAACTCATAAGACAGGAAAGAAGTCGTAATAAAGTTTGTTAGTTGACTGGTCTTGCTGGAGCTCATGATTTCAACTGCGACGGTGATAGAGCTCTTCAAATGCAAATCGACCGCACGCACAGGACGCGACATTTGAACGTCAATTGTTTACCCGATTTATCACGCATGCGCACGTACACGGAATTGATGCAGTGACGGCTTTACTGTAGATGCATCAATGGCTCTTCAGTCTCGGTCCATGTCGTTAAGCACCATACCACACACAAAGGCCAGACTAGCTGTAAAAGTCCTACAAATCCGCTTCTTTTCATACAAACTGCTAGTGATTGCCACTGTCACTTGTCTCGTAACTCCAAGACAATGGTAGTGTTGGTGCAAAACCTGCCTCTTGATAGAGAAATTCCAGAAAAGGTTTACTGCAACCTTTTATAAGAATCGCCCAAGGATTCCCTCCTTCCGTCTGTGAATGTTTGTATGGTATTGGGCAGATGTTTAGTAGAAAGTGGTCCTATTCCTGCAGAAGACGAATTTCTAGTTTTGTTGTCACCATACGGCCTAGTAGGTTCCTCATTCGTATTCCTGGTGCAACAGTGCAGATGTTTTTATTCGCCTATAGTTCTGAGTTTACTGGCTTCATGAGTCATAAAGAATCGGGAGAGGAAAAAAACCCTTGATGGATTGTCAATTGTGTTGTACAGGAACACAATTCAAAGTCTATCGAGCCTACTCCTTGCTATTTTTTTTAATGAGGAATTTACCTTCCATGTGACATCACCACTTAAAATCAGCCATCGGCATAGGGAAGCTAGTCACTTAAATAGCCAGTAGCCGCCTGATCAGGCATTATTAGTGTTTTTATGAAATTGGCCAAATCACATACACAAAAGGAACGAACGACATCCACTAACACCAGGGAGTTGGTCTGATCTAACACATAATCATTGGGTGGTATAGAACTTGAAATAATGTCGGTTTTTAGTACGTTTTAGTGCATTCTCCCTCGTGTTTGCTTGGGGCCTCAATCCTCACCATCAGTAGTAAATCATCTTGAAACTAATGCGTTTACTTTCCGTACTTCAGAAATAGCGGCTGCAGCACAGTTACCCTGCCTCCTGAACCCTTGTCAAAACGGGGGTAAATGTGAGGTTTCTAAAGATGCTCCAGGTGGCTACCAGTGCATCTGTCTCGAACCCTATGGTGGTCGCAACTGCACCATCGAGAATCCCACCTGCATTGATCAGCCCTGTCTGAACTTCGGTGGCTGTGAAGATTTGCCAAATCAGCAGTTCAAATGCACTTGTCCTCCTGGCTTCGTTGGTAGGTCGTTGGAATCCTCTTTTGGCTACTTACATGAAATAAAGGGATGATGAGATTTCATCTCTGTTCTGTACAGGTCTAAGGTGCGAATTTGAGGATCCCTGCTTAATAAAACCATGCAAAAATGGAGCTAGGTGCTTTTCGAACAATCTTGGCAAACGTGAGTGCCACTGTCCAGCCGGTTTTACGGGTGAGGATTGCAGTGTGGACGTGAACGAATGCGAGATCGAAGAACGATCACCTTGCGAAAACAACGGCTTCTGTATCAACGAGGTAAGCATTTTTCCCTGATTTTCGTTTAGATATATCCACGTAAATCTAACTATTTCAATATTTTGTATCTGATAGGCTTCGCACGGTAGCGTCTAAGTTATCTTTTAAGACGTTATGAGGTATGCGAGCCTAGAGGCTGTTTCATCACAGATGTTCACAAGGGTATAACCAGAGCTCCATGCCATTAGAGTGATGGTCGAACAACTTTGGCTTCCCGTCTTGCTGTTTAGATAAGGGACCCATGCATATATGTGATCGGCATGTGTATATCCACGTTCCATCAATCAACCCGAGATTAGTCTTCTCACAGAAATCACTGCTCCATCCATGCGTATGTGCTTGCGTGTGTGTAAACGGGTAGGGTCCCACGCAAATCTCCACTTGCTTATTTCTTATTGCACGGTCTGTCTCGTACACATTTCGTCGATTGAGTCATCTTCGACTGACTTACTGCTTTTGTCTTTACTTGTAGCCCGGAGGCTATAGATGTGAGTGTTTAAACGGCTACACAGGAGTCCGATGTGAAATCCTCGTGCTTAACTGCAAGCCCAACCCCTGTCTGAATGGCGGTGTCTGTGAGGACAAAGGAGACCACTTTGAGTGCCTCTGCCCACGTGGTAAGTCCCTGAATTGACACCAGAGGCGGCTATGGTGGCGGCAGCAGAAGCAGTCAGTAGGAGATGTCAAAACGTTACATACAGTGACGATAGGAGAAGGGGGAGGAGAAGGAGAAAAGGAGCACGCAGCGGTGCTGTACTGTCCTGTCCGTATGCGTGTGGTGATGGCGGTAGATTTTGCTGCTCCGCTTACGAGACGCGCCTTCTGGCCAGCCTTACCTCATCACATCGAATAGATTCTTGTTTTTCTTGCCTCTCTCTCGCTCATTCGGACTTCCTTTCCCATTGGTGTGTGATCCCAGCACCTACCCCGTATACATCTACAGGAGCAGTGATGCTAACCAATTGTTCAAAGTAGTTGTGTTCGACTTAGAATTTTGTGGTTATTTTCGTTGACAATGTTACATGAGTTATCACTGTAAACGCACATACTGTTCTATGACCCCAAACCGCAAATTTGAGTCATATTTTGGGATCTCACACTTCCGCTCTGCCGAGAAAAAGGTCAAAGGGTATTGTGGAAGGATAGAGACCCATTTCCGCACTCGCACCATCCATCCTTCCATTCATCTGTTCAAGATTTTAATTAGTAGAGGACCACTTCATAGAGGCATCTAATGGGAAAGTTAAGACGAGGTTTCAAAGTTGTTATAAAATTCCACATACCTTATCAATCTCATCTTGGCTAACTCTTATCTACAAAGAATTTTAATTAAAATACCAACAGGCATTAAGCCATTTTCAGGATTTCACATCTTTGTCCCAACCCGTCTTGCCTCATTCACGTTCACCATGACTTAAGTAGGGTTCTGCTACAATTGAAGCTTCTCGTCACCGTCCTGCTTAATTTTGCCATATAGGCATTCGGCTCGAGAGGGATGGATATTGTATCTGAATGTAAAGACCTCACATTCTCGGCATCTATCTACATGCTTGTTGGTTGTGTTGCCACTACTGGAGGCAGTTTCCAACATCCATCGAAATTTTTAATCAGAAAGGAACCAATAGTAACAACGTTTGCTATTGCAAGGTTAAGGTAAGAGAGCCCTAAAGTATTTAAGAATATCGCATCCCAAATTTTTCAATTCAAAGATACTGTGGTGTGATAACATGCTTTGAAAAAGTGGGTCCATATGTTCCGGATTTTGCATTTTCTCTGTACATCATCCTTCGACCCTGTTATTCACTGCAGTAAAGGACAGATGCCAGAGCGGAAGAACGAATGTCTTACTTTTTCAGGATCCATTTGTACTATTGTTGGTGTCAATACAGGCTACAGGGACATTGGAATTCATTGAATGAGAATCTTTGCCAACAAATTGCTGACAATCATCAGTGAATATTTTGGCAGGAATTAGTCCCGATTTTTAAGAAGTTTGCAACCTTGCCCTACGCCATCTTTGATACACACTTGTTAAAAACTATTTTTTTGTCTCAAGAGGTTGGAACACACTAGTGCAAGGGTTAAAAGTCAGTTCACGAGTTCCCTCCCCTGTCTGTCTCAAGCACCCACCATGAGGAATTTACATTATCATTTGAGCATAAAGACTTCACAATTTCAGGTGTCATTTATTATTCTTGTTGGTGGTATTGCAGGTTTCGAGGGGAGACTCTGTGAGACGGACACCAACGACTGCGAGGGATCGCCGTGCCAGAACGGAGGTGTATGCGAGGACCTCGTGGGCGACTTTCGTTGTAATTGCCCCCCTGACTGGAAGGGTGCCTTCTGCGAACAGCCCATGCTGCCGTGCGACTCCTCGCCCTGCTTAAATAATGGTGTCTGCGAGAATACGCCCTCTGGCTACGTCTGCCATTGTCCTCAAGGTTGTTCTAATTTTCGCTTCAATGCAGTTTGATGAGTTGGTTGAACATCAAAGGAGCTATACTATCGTCTACGCGAAAGAAGTTACTAATTATCTTTTGTGGTTTCGATCAGCTGCTTATCAGAAGCTTTTCAGCGTTGCCTCTTTCTGCAAAGAAGAGAGCAAGTCAATTTCTATTTTGGCCTCCTTTGAAATTCCGGTGAAGCACCAAGTGTTATGTTTATTTGCACTGAGCTGCTGAGTTAATGAAAAGTAATTGACCCTCATAAAACAATATTCCTCGCTCCATTTGGTTTCAAAATTTGATGAAAAACGAAATTTGCCTGCAAGATGGTTCCAGTTATACTGCCTTTATGTTGATACAAAATAGGAAAGATTAAGCCTCCACTATATGATGATAATGTGGAATTCAAACAAAAATTAACATCTCAAAATTGATCTACCCTAATGAAGAACAGGATAAATTTTTGTGGAAAATTAGAATACTTTGCTTAACTTACTACCGAAATTTGTTGTGGAGCATCTTAAACGAAATACATTTGAAGGCGTTCCTGCTGATCCATCTCCGGATTTATTCAAGCAAAAGCAAATGCTTTTGATGCAGTACAGCGTCTTGGTGACTCGTTTTAACTTGTTAAAGGCTTTTTTCTGCTCCTGTCAATGAGTCAGCTGCTTGAGTATAATGTGATACGAAATCCGAAAGGACTTCCTAGTGGAAATTAGTCGGCCCTGAGGTAGGAAGAACTGACTTACCTTTCACCAAAACTACCACAATGTAAAGTGCTCGGTTCTGTTGTTGCACTACCGCTGATAACTTGCCGTACTGGCTGAGAGGGTGTAGTCTTTGTTAAGTACGCACGCACGGTACAATGCAGCACAAAACATGGGGGTGGGTTGGTCGGACAGTAGGAGTGTCTGGCTGCCACCACCAGTAGCGCAGTGCGTACCTGCATGTACCGGGCACGTTGTCATTTTCACTGTCGTAGTCGTCTTCAATGCTCTCTTTCGCTCTCTGCGCTCCATCGTAAACTGTGACCGATTGAAGACACCCTTTTTCAAAGAGGACAGGGGGGAGGAGAGAGCATCGTGGTGGTCCGCATATTAATGTGGGTGGTGGCGCTGGCCGGCTCGCAGGCCTGGCGGGAAGAAGGAAGGGGTGTCCACTTGACAAACGGCGCCTCCCGCTCCACCTCCTTTGTGCCGTTAATTCTCTTCCAGGTGGGACACTTTTTTGTGTGTGTGCGTGCGTACGTTAATGGTAAAACGGATGTGTGCGCTAGCGAGTGAGCGCAATCATGATGGTACCCTGAATATTTGTACTGTCTCTACACCTCTCACCTTGAGACATCGCATGTCTTCTTGGGACACGTTTTGTGATTTCTTCTACAGGCAACGCATTCCTCCTTTTATTTATCATGGGGCCAGTGCGTTAATGGATGTATAGGTATAAGATTTTCACTTTGGGGTACTTCACCAACTCAGATCATGGATCTATTCCAACTGACCATAATCTTATATATTGTTGAAGAGGTGTGCAAAAACTAGTTGGTGGGTGGGATATTTTAGTGACTGAAATTAAATAAATTTGTCTTTGTTGGTCCTTTTATTTATGCATGGTTTTTATTTCTGAAAAGGGCTTAACGTTATACGTCCTTTGTATTGGTTTAAAGCTAGTCCATTACTGTGCTTATAGCCTGAATCTAGTGTAACACTTCCATCATTAGTCCCAACGATTTGATGTTAGTATTGCCACTTCAGCCTCTTAACTCCTGCTTTTCCTTCTTCCACTAGTCTCAACTTTGAGTTACCGTCCATTCCCCCAGAGTCCTTTTGGGCATTCCTTCAAGCACCACTCATTCTTCTACCCGTTGTACTGTGAATTTGCTAATAGAAGCAAGTTGTTTCACTTAATTCGCTATTTTAAGTGTCTTGCATATGAAAGTAATGTATTCATTTCAGCCTTGCGTTTGGTTTCATAGCTTGTCGAAGAAGTACAGTATTAGCAGTTGATATGAGAAATTTTTTCGGTCATCAGGAACAATTCACTCACTTTTCCCACACTTTAAGTCCTTTAAAACTGTCTGCAGGATGTTAGAACTCTATATCGGTTAGGCGTAATGCCATCACTGTGTACGCATAGAAATTTGTTATTGTTTATAGGTAAAATTGTGAGACATACGTCCATCAAAGGTCTAGTAGATGTTGTTATCTCGGTATCTTAACTTCTGCCATCACTCTTCCTTTCACCTGCTGTCCACCCTTAAGTTATCACCTGTTCTCTTTCACGGCAGGCTTATCTCTCTTCTCGTTCCATTTTATGCTTTACACACTAATGGATGTAAGCTGTAAATTTTTCTCACGGACTCACGAATCTCGTGTGTAAAGCCTGTAAACCTATTTAAAATTAAGTGTGGTTCTATATCAGGTCGAAAAGTGTAGAACAATTAATTTGGTAACAAATCCGCTTTTGTTCTCACATTGAAGAGCCATCTATACCAAAAGAAATCAACCATTCTTTCTACTTACGTTGTGCCTTCAGGGCATCATGGGGTGCAATTACTGCATACACAGAAAAATATGCTATGGTTTACAAATAGGGTCAACTTCTGTATGTAAATCAAGCGAAATATGCACAGCTTTTTCCGCCACCTCACTAATTTGCTTAGTTGAGACAAGTGATAAATGCACAGTACCTTCGTTTTCGTTCGCCATGTTTACAACATTGGGTTTTAATTGACGTCGCGTTGGTCTGTTGCTACCACAGCGAGGTATTTGGACGAAAAAACTTACAACTTGGGCTCCATGAGTAAGCACCCCACCAAGGCGATCAACGGTGTTGTGGTATATGCAAAAAAACCGAGTTGGTGGCGCGACGACTCGGTATGTTTTCCCTTTCGCTCAGGAGCCCCTGACGCGTTACTTTGTTTTGATGACCAACCAAAACAAGGCCAACATCACACCCACACCTTTATGTCCATCGTTCATAGGATTTGGTGAAGCGGGGAGTATTATTTGTGGAATCTTCATGAGGGTTGTGTTTAAAAGTCTACAGATCTTTGATTAACAGTCTTTGGTGGTGACCTTTTAGCATTGCAATTTGGTAGGCAACTATCTTCCTAAGGGAGTAAATTCTCGTGAAAATATGCTTAAGCAAGTTAAAAATTCGTCGTTTTTAAAAAGTGTTGTAATATTAACTGATGAAGTAAAGCTAATGAATACACTTATGATGTGTTTGATATTATTTTTGAAAGATCTAATTATGACAGGCAATTTTAATCTTTAAGTGCATCAGGCACACAGGGAACCTGGATTGAGATCTTAACGGATAATGTTAATGCATCCAGGACTAATCCACTAACATCAATAGGCCCTGACGGTCATTGCGCAAAGTGTTTTGCCGAGAGACTGCAGTGTCAGTTCGATGGTTTAAACTAAAAGAGGTGCTTTAAGGAGTTATTTTAACATTAAAAATGAACCATGTATCATGTGGAAAGTATGGGTTTTGACCAAGGTAGAGGAAACACTTGCTTAAAAACAGCTACACATGGAAGCTGACGTATTTCCACACGAAAATTAATCGTAAAACTTAGAGTATTAAAAATCATTTAATAAGGAGGGCTCCGAAAATAAGCTGGTTGAGCAGAGGTATATGGAAAAAGCGGGGAAAATCGAATATACTTATCCCGCTTGTTATAAACCTTCCTGAACTACGTCAGTTAAAGCTCGTGACTCACCAATAGCCAATGTGGAACTCTGAGTGGCTTGAAAAGGGTGTTGTGTACTAAAATCCCTACTTTTTCATCTATGAAGGCTTTAAAGGTTCTCGTTGTGAGGTGGACATCGATGACTGCGTTGGCGTCTCCTGTCGCAATGGAGGCTACTGCGTGGACAGTCCAAACTCGTGGTTCTGTCACTGTCCTGTCGGGTACTCTGGCCGATATTGCGAGTTGGATCAACCCGTCCCCAAGAGTGGTTCATCGGGTAGCATCGCATTGATCGACACAGCCGTCGCCACAATCTGTCGCAGTGGTAAGATCTGCCTCCACAATGGCGTCTGCGTACGTCCTACAGCCACCTTTAGTGCTGTTGAGGCCTTCTGCGACTGTCCCTCGGAGTGGTATGGCGATTTCTGCGAGATTCCTGTCTGCTCTGAGGATGCCTGTGCTAATGGGGCACGATGCCGGGCCTTGCTAATTCTACCCGGCAACCAGATGACTCCCTCGAAGAAGGAACCCTATTGTGAATGTCCACCAGGATTTTTTGGAGAACTTTGTTTAGAAAAGGTGTGTTCTTTGCCCGCGATGATCAGTTTAGAATTTTGAATTCCTTTGCATCTAGAATAATCACTGCAGTTGTGCTTGTTATGCATGTTTGTTGTGTTGCATTATCTTTCAACTAGAAGTGATTTATGTGAGAAAACTATTCAATTTGGTATTTCGAAGGTTTACCAACACTGGTCCAATGGTATAGTAAATGAAAGATAGTGTAATGAAACTCTACATTCATCACCAGTTTTTAGAATTTAGTTAAAAGCACCAATGGTACTGATTAGATAAGAAGATTACAATTTGTTTACATTGTTCCATTTTGGTCAATTACTGCTTAGCCTCAAATTTTATTGAAGGAAAAGCATCTTTAAATAATCCCGAACGTATACTGAGTAGACATGACACTCGGAGCCGTTAATTTTGGCAGATTTTGCACTAATTTGGTAAAGTGTATCGTGTTCAGTTGGGATTTGGTCAACTGCGATGGAAACCGTACATTTTATTTGATACGTTATGGTCATTAGTTTGATGGAAAAACAAGTGGTGTCACCCACAGGCACGGACAATTGGTAGTCAAGACCAGGAATGCAGCTTGTTTGTATTCCTTTCATTCTTCACATCCTGACCCGAAGGTGTGCCTAACACCGTTAGCATGAAGGGAGTATCTCGTTCGTACGAGGTTCTTCCTGTTTACTACCAAGTAGTGAATAGGGCAAGGCCCATTCAATTCATTTTTACCAATTCCCTAGTTTGTTTAGTTGTGAATATCATCACTTTATCAACAAAGGTCAATGTCTTCCAGAGGTGTCATATTTGGTAGAAAGACTAGTAAAAACAACATCTTTATTAATCTTCATCCCAATCGTCCCTTAAATCCTGCTATAAGGAAATTAGTCGTATTTTTTATACAAACAAAACAGTGGTTCGTGGCTTTTGGAGCCGACCAGTTTTACGCGTAAAACAGTTCTGTTTTCTAAGTGTTAAGTTAAAAGCTCTGTTAACTCAACTACCCAGTTCAAGTATTTATACCTCGTGTTCAAGTACGCATCTCACTTGATGACCTACTCATAAATGTTATCATCGTAAGTTTACCCATTTCTACCATATTACGCCTAGATTTTCGCATATGTGGATATTGGATCCATCAAAATCAACCAGAAGATGTGGAGTGCTTTGGCCATGATTATGAGTTAGATAGCTAGATAAAAATGAGAATAGAAACAGTCATAAGTGTATCATAACTTAAAAAGGACCAAATTTCTGCTTTTTTGTTCAGCCCTCTAAGGTATTTATTGGCCAGGTTTGTATGGTCAGTAGCGTGCATCGCCCATAGGCCAATGTCACATTGATAGCGCCTAGAGCCGTCACTATCCCTGAGACTTTTCCGCTGAGAACTGGGACTATTGCAATCATCCTCCCTACCCTACGCCAGAGCTAGACTCCACGTTCAAGCGACTAGGCGTAGACGTACCGAAGCACTTTTATCCGCAATTTTTTTCTCTCTGGTGACAGGTAGAGAAGTGCAAGCCGGATTTGTGCCAAAACGGTGGTGAGTGCACTGACGCAACGGGAGGTGCACGGTGTCGCTGTCCTCCTGGTTTTGGGGGGGTCCAGTGCGAGCGCGCCCT